GGTATGAAGCTAGAACTCCAGATAACTTCAAGGAAGGTGGTTAGGGAGCTTCAAATTTTTTGGATTAATTTTCACCTTGCCCGAGAGAGCACTGAAAGTCAGATGCATTGTGGATTGGTATTATAAAATGAAATTCTAATGAATGGATTTTGGCATTGTTCAGTAATATTTTGGAATGCGAAATCCGCTCAAAATTGTATTGACTACTTTGAATGCATTGTGAGCTTACAGTGAATTGTGGTGGTCAGCCGACGTACACGTCAGTGCTTTCATCCTCCCAGACGAGTTTCTTACCAATAATACTGTCCCAGAAAAATGGAATGCTTGGGTGACCCGAACGACTGGTTTATTACCAAGGTGCTTCTCCAGTGCTTTCGGCTTCACGTTTCTTACAGTTTATGTGACTTAGCGAAGAAAGCAATTTTACCAATTTGCCCTTGTAAACAAAGGAAACAATGAGCTGTTGCTCTATGAATTTAGCGAGAGCTCGTTGGGCATTACAACGGGGCATTGATAGGAGACAGGAACATTACCTTCTGATCTCACTTGATCTTACCCTTACATATTTACCACGCTCCTCCGAATTTTCTTACTAAGCTATACACACATCCATGAAGAAAGTCACATCTGAAGAAAGGGTTTGTTTTGTTCATTTGTTTGTTTGCATAATTACTCACTTGTAATTTCGATTTAAGGTGCTCACCAACGTCAAGTGAAGAAGTTATACGTGTGATTACATAGAATCTCCCCAGGACTAAAACATTGCAAAATCTCGAGCAAAGAAGAAAGGGGTTTCCTCTGAGAAGAAATGGAAGCCCGTGCTGGTCTTTCGAAAACAAACGTGATATAATCAAACTTCCAACCATATCACTAGAGCTACCGTGAAGGGTTTGTCACAGTCACCGTAATAAGTAATTAAATAATTCATGATTGTGTGCCCTCTTCCATATTCCCTCTTCAAAGAGCTTTTCCGAAACAGGACGATACCTACTGAGTTTTACACAAGTATTCTGATAGCTAACTTGAAGTCTGCTAGTGCTCGCCTCACACAGCTTTATCGAGTTCATCGTGTCCGAGGCCCTGATTATGCTGAACAAACTATTGAAAAAACGAAGAATCTCTGCGAAATTCGTTCGATGTTACTTTAAAGAGCCATCGTTCTTGATACAATGGCGCTCAAATATTGAACCTGATTGATAGGCTGGGCGAGTAATCCGTAGGCTCTCCTTCCCTATGTGAACATACAACATTGAGTTAGATCGGATTTGGGAACCAATTTGGAGGTAGAGACAAACGATTTGGGATACGTCTTATGACAGCTATCGTATCAGCGAAAGGACTGAGCTGACTAAATTAAGCTCCACATAAGCTTTCCGAATGTATGTTCTTTGTAATTTATTCGAAAATCTCAAATGATCCTTTGCATCTAATTGTTTACTGAAGTCAATAAATATACCTACTTTTCGAAGCTTTGGAACTTTACCCACACGTGTGTATATTGGAGCACCTGCATATGAATGATCCTAACCGTTCCGAGTAATGAGATTTGACTCCTGTAGCCACTTAGTGAACACGGTTTCAAAACTTTCATCATCTTGCATTACGTTGACGTGATGCTTAGAGGTCTAACATCATTGACGCTTGCAGCACACAGTTTATAGGAAACTGCTATGACCACGATTGTTTCCAAAAAGCCGGCTCACTTTTAGGTAAACAAGACACATATGTATGTTGAGACTATGGCTCGAAGGATAGCAGACATACAGCAAAAGAACTACAAACAATTGAAGGACCTCGATCCTTTGGCAAAAGTCTTGGGCAGCTATTTATAGACAAAGAAGGGATCTACACCGGGCCAGGGCCAGTATGGATAGACTAGTTAGGAGACACTTCAGGAGCGCTGTACGTTTCCGGTTTCTTGGCTGAGTATACGGTGCTTGAACATGGTCGAATATGTCCTACTTCTAATCAGCTGAACCTCTCTCTGCATGTTTGATTACGATACAATATGGTGGATTTTTTAACACGAAAATCTTCTTGAATGTGAGGTACGCACGCTCTCGCGCGCGCTAGAGGCTCTAGTCATGAGAGACGGAGCCGCATGAGCTGATTTTCATTATAGACCTTTATCGGATTTATGAGTTTCCGCTCAAACCTCGCTTCCTGCGGGCGGAGTCTGGTCCTGCCACCCACCATAAGTTTCCCCAACACGGTGTCTGTACTCCTACCAATTTTGAACTTTCTAGGTCCACTGAGACAGAATTATGAATTTTCACCCAGACCCCGCCCCTTGTGGGCGGAGTTCGGTTTTGCCACTCACCATAGGTGCTCCAATCCTGTCGCCTGTACTCCTAGCAAGTTTGAACTTCCTAGGTCCATGGGGACAGGAGTTACGAATTCTCGCACAAACCCCGCCCCTTGTGGGCGGAGTCTGGTTTTACCACCCACCATAAGTTTCCCCATCATGCCGCCTGTACCACTACGAAATTTGAACTCTCTAGGTCCATGGGAACTGAAGTTATGGATTTTCGTATATAAATGTAAGAAGGGATGTGAGCTTCGAGGCACGCTCCGCCCATTGTGGGCGGACCTCCGCCGACGTCATTTATGCTGGAGACACCTACGACAATACTTCTCCAACACAAACTTTTTCCCCTCTGTTGGCTAACTCCAAACCGAATTATAAATGTTTTCATAGAGCACTGCATTTTTGGAGAACGCCCCGCCCATCGGGGGTGGGTCTCCCCAATTCGATCTATCTTACCAATGCACACCTCTAGCCACCTTTAAACTCCAGTTTTGAAGACGTCTTGTTACTGAATTTGAAATCATGGTCCTCAAAAGGGCTCATTTCGAGGCACGCCACGCCCACTATGGGCGGGGCTCCGCCAAGCTGATGTGTGTTTTATACTTCTCGAGACCTGGCCCACCCATCCCACACTTGACCCGGTCTCTCCACGCAGATCTAAAGGAGCTAAGGAATTTCGTGACAGACATACAGACAGACAGACAGACAGACAGACAGACAGACAGACAGACAGACAGACTAAGCGCTTTATAGTAAGTAGGATTGACTATTGGGAAACCAGTTGACAAGTTTACCCCCATCTGCCAATCGCTGTGGAACTTATGTTCCAAAGTGGCTTTCTTCAAGATAGCTGTGAAGCCATGGGGCTTCAGAGCGCTTTCTGGTACTTATTCGTTTTCAGAGAAAAATTCTTGCTACCTTCGCTTTTGTATGTGCTTTATACGCTGAAATGTGTGTACCTCTCAAAATCCATTCGCAAAAGTTTTCTTGAAATACCTTCCGCCAACACACGGCCTTCAACAGCTTTTTCAAATTTATTCACACTCCAGTTGATCAGAAATTTAAGAAAGTTTATGGTCTGAGTTTGCCCTGTAAGCCGAGTAATTCGAAGCACATGTTCAGCTGAGTCGCCTTATTACTATCACCCTTTTTCTGGAGCGAGTGGAACGGTAGGCAGTGAATATGAGTTATTTTCAAAGCTGCAGTCAACATCAAACATGAAATTCGATTCTTTTTTTTTCGCTTTCATAATTGTGATGATGATGACACTATATTCCTGGATGACTTTCGACGCAAGTATACTGAAGCAATCCTTTGAATTCGGTTACTCATTTTGATTGAACCTCAATGAGAATTTAAAGCCATTCAGGAAGCTTGTAGGGCGAGGACGTTGGTGAGGAAATTATAAAACATGCATATCTGTTCGAGTCAAGCTAGGCATCTGCATTTGACGGCTTTGCAGAATTATGTCGCCAACGTTCGAAGGAATAGTTCGGAGGGAGTTGGGACTTTTAGCATCCCTGAGTGAATGATAGACGCAGTGAAAGGTAAATGAAGGTAATAGGTAAATGAAAAAACGCGACGAAATGTGGAAAACTTTGCCTTGTTCCCCTACAGTGCTAACCAACGTTCATCGAGCAGGCGTGGAGCTGTTATACATTGTTTCTGTCCGTGCTCATCAATCTGAAGAAACCTAAGAGTTTATTAAATCTCAGGCAATGCGGTAGCATCGTTGCTTTTTCATTATATTGAAGTAGTTTTCATACTTCATTCATTCTGTGTAAATGATGATTGATGGTCAGAGGGGATGGAGGTATAGAAGGACGATGATAGGAGAACCGTGAATCAATCGACCACAGGGACTCACCACTAGAAGGAAGGCAGCGACAACCATCCGCGAATTTCAGCTTGTGATTGCTTCATATCGGCAGACTGAAACTTCCGACTTATCACCCATGCGGNTGTGTGTATCCTTATAATAGCAAGAGACACTGAAGAACGCTCCCTGCAACCTTTATAAATGTGTTTTTCATGTTGTTAGACATTCTTTCCTGAGTTAAGAACAAGATATCGTGACTGTTGGGAAAAGTGGACGATTCGCATACTGAAGTTTTCCGAGAGGTTGATTATGGAATTCGCTGGAATGTTGTTTCATTTCAGTACAACGAAAATTGCCGTCGTATCAACATACACTAACAATAGTCTCCAATCATAAACGAACATAATCAAACGATATAATCATATTATATTGTTATTTATTGTTAGCAAATTGAAACCATAAACAGCTAACAATAGTCTTTCATCTAATCTGACCGCATCACACCGTTCCAGTTGTCCGCAATTAGGAATCCGACGGAGTTCGCCTTCCGTCCATTCTTCGTTAACAAAAGGCTTTCTGGGGCTCGTTACATCCGACAATCTGTGCAGTTTAAGCTCTCACATTTCCTTCATAGTATCTTTTACCTGGATAATTCTAATTCGTATGCTCACAACTATGTCTTTTCGAGTTCCAGCCTTCTCGATTATATGCCAAGGACTTGGTGCAACGGCAGCTTTCGAATCATCAGCTTTTTCTGAAGTTGCAAGGTGATTACAAGAGCTTTTTTATGTATACAACATGCACTCCTTACGAAATTTACTTGAAATATTCTACTTTTACTGAAGAAGCTCTAATACTTTGAAAAAAACAGGGATGGTCAGTGGGACAGTACACGATGAAGGTGCCACAACACTTCCATCGGGTACTGGCCTGCTGGCCCGTCCTGGTAGAAATGGATGTTTGTTTGCTAGTTTCTTTGCAAATTTTTCTCCAATTAGAGAAAAAGAAATTATCTGTCAGTTGACAAACACTAATGGAAGAGTTTGGAGACACAGCCTATCATAGCAAATCTTACCAAAATTCTCTGCTGGGACGAAACTGTAGCCTCCATGACAGACAAGTGAGGCACAGTCGCATTGGAAAGAGGCAGAGTTAGGGTAGAAACCCCTTTATGCACCTACGCACTACTGAGACGAAGGAAAAAATCTGAAAGAAAGAAAGAACAAATGAAAGAAATGAGACGAAAGAAGAAGAAATGGCTTCCAATTACCCATTACGCGTTCATAATCCGTACCCAAAGATAAACCTGTCCTGTGGAGTCGTTTCGAGGCGTCCTATGCCAGCAAAGCCCTGTTCTTAACCGACAAAAATTTTCGAGAACTGCTGCATGCTTAACATGAGCTCCTCACACTTGGTATGGTGATCACCCTATCGCTATCACACGGTTAGCATCATTTTGATGGGTTTCACAGTAGAGGTTCAATTAGACTCACAACTACTAACCACTCGGCCGTACAATGGAGGAGTGGATTCCCTTGGAGCAAATAGAAACAGCGGAAGGAGATGAAAGGTAGTTTCAACTCGAGAGCCTTTCTTCCGTCTCTTTCAATGCTAAGTATCTAGAAAGAATCTGCTGTACAGTTGGACGTATTCGCCATCTGGCCGATATGGAGTTGATTTCGACTACAAGGTTGGGTGTCATTGAAAAAGTGCGCATTCTCTTCGANCCACTCGGCCGTACAATGGAGGAGTGGATTCCCTTGGAGCAAATAGAAACAGCGGAAGGAGATGAAAGGTAGTTTCAACTCGATAGCCTTTCTTCAGTCTTCTTCGATGCTGTCTCTAGAAAGAATCTGCTGTACAGTTGGACGTATTCACCATCTGGCCGATATGGAGTTGATTTCGACTACAAGGTTGGGTGTCATTGAAAAAGTGCGCATTCTCTTCGAATTTGCACTCGATTTCACTTTTTCAGGAGATACCCCAACTTGAAGATGAACCAGACACACACCACTTCCTCTTCCGGTTTTTCGTACTAGATATTCTCGAAAAGACCTGGTGTCCCTATACTGGGAACACTGGACCGTTTAAGGTAGAGTCAGTGTTCACATCAGAAATTAAAGACCATCTAACCCGACATAAGGTAACATTAGACCATGGACTTCTCTAATTGAAAAAGTGATTGGTTTCGAAAATCAACTACCTCTCTGTGTGAACTATATCGTTCTAAAACATAAGGGAGCTGATTGAGGAGCCATGGATAAGAAGTTCATATAAACACGTGCTGTCAGCAAAGCTCCTTTCTGTTGAACTCTGACTCTTTGTTTTACTATGACCTGTGGAGTTTCTAACCTAATTTGTAATACCCATGGTGTTTTGGATGAGTGTTTGAACAAACCGGTTTAGTCAATCAAAGCGCAACGACTTGGAGATGACAGTTGATTTTCTTGCTCGAGGGTTGTAATTGTGACGGGGAGATTTCATCTCATGACTGCAGAAGAAAATCCCAGTAACTCAGAACAAGCGGCTCTAGCGGTCTCCCACCGCTTCCCCAAGAGAGTGTGAAAAGTGATTTGTGTCTTTCTAAGAACGTAAGAAACGACAAAAGTGCAAAGTCGAAGCTTATATTGTTTTTGAAAACTCATCGATTAAACAAGGAGGCGATGCCATACCTGAATTGCTATGACTGTCGCTGCTGAGTTAATTGTCACTGCCCTGAGCATCCCCAAACGCATGAAGCATTCTGCGAATTTCGCGCATGCCACACGTGAAATGCGCTGCCTTCTCGCCGTATTCCAGGATCGCCGGGCTTCGAACCGAAGCCATTACATTTCGCGACCTTGCGCAATGCTCCTCGCCATGGACTGTTCCACTTTTAAAGGCACAGTTCGCGATAATTTGATATCGCGAACTGTGCCTCTGAAGCAACCGACCCTTCCTGCATTGGGCTTAATGCGCTGGGATAGTTCCTATGGCTTGACGTGTGATGAAGGTTTTTGCAGAGGAAAAACCTCGTTACGCAGATTCCTGTATGATGTAGTCGTTGCGTTGTATACATATTTGCAGAAGGAGCCTAGAGACGGGCTGGCAACTTCTGCTGACCCAGTGCCTAAAGCGCGCGCTGCGTATGGTTCACTGGGACGTAACTGCGGTTAGGGAGAGAGGAAGCGGCTTGGCAGACTTGCGATCAAACTGAACGAGACAGCGAAGTAAACGAGCTCCCGAGCTCTGCAATCGCTGCTATGGCCGAGCCCGATCTTGCTGCTCCGAAGACGGTAACGGCGTGGTAATACTCAAGCAGGTTCAAGTTGCCCTTGATGTTCCTCTGAGAACGCGATTGACTAGGTGCGCTATATGGATATTGATGAGAATGTTTGAGCCCGTCCTAGCCTCCGCACTGCGCCTTTGCAGGTGTGACGCCTTCCTGTAAATCGAAACAATGAAAGTCATAGTAGTGAAGAGGACCCACACGTTGAGACGGAGACTGTTGTCCCTCCATGATGTGAGCCCCAAACTGCGTCAAAAGTTGGATATTGCGATGATGAGTATCCTAAAATGAGGTCACAAATGCGTTTTATATGAACAAACAATGCAGATGCGTCAGGCGAACGACACTCTTCGACACACTCTTGCTCGTCACCCCAGCAGGCTGAGCGATCTCTTAATAAAGTAACTACGGATCATGCGCTGGTAGCGCGACTCGAAGAATGCATCTATGCTGACGTAACCATGACTGTGCCGTACGAAACGCATACTTAGGTTTAACGTGATGGTGAGCCGTTAGAGTTGAAAGAGAAAGGCTTTATTCTCGTGCGCCATGGCTGCCAACTGCTTTTCATTAGCTTCGCTAAGGTCGCGAGTTGCGACGTATGAGTTAACGAGAGCAAGCGCTCTGCAGTAGTGAGTGCGCGATGAATGGTGAGTACCGTTCCGGACGGCAGAGAATAGGTGCACTTTGTTTTATTAACTCTGATGACTGCGGTGCTTCTGCATCCGAACGCGGATCGTCAACCTACGCTTGTGCTAATTCCTGCCTCAACCGTGCAGCTGTGAAGAGTTTTAGAAAATAAGGACTCGCTCTTGCCGAGATCTGCGCCTGCTTCCTCAAAAAACCGACTATCCCTCAGACGCCAAACGCTCTGACAACCCACGCTGCGATGGCGGGAGTGATGATGAACGTGCAATACGATTGCTGCACCCTAACGTGCGCGAGTGACTCTACGCCGGACGTTGCGGACGTACCGAGCTTTACTGCACTCGTGCCTGCTACTCGCCGTGAGCAAATTCACCGGTCGAGTGTGTAGACATTTCGATGGCTTCGGGGAGGTCAATCCCGAAGCGATCGGCAAGATGAAGCCGGCAATATGACGTCAGAAGTTGTTGTTCATATCTGTTCTGTTGATCTATTACTGCAGTATTCAACTAAACACTTCAACATACATATAGAAGGCCATCATTCCAAGGTGATAAGACACGTTTCTCTCATCACCTTGGAATGACTCAGCAAAATATGTTTCAGTGATTGGCTGCTGAAGCTGTTTTGGCTTTGTCTCTCTTTTGAGATTTAGAAATTCTCTCATTTTTATGATTCCAGCGGTTTTACTCGTTTTATTGGCTGTCGGATGAGTTCGGTGTCTTGCTCGACTTTTCCAAGCGTGAGGGTTCCGTGAGGCAGAATCTGCTGTATTTTGAACACGACAAGAAGGTTGTTTCATGCACAGTTATCAGGCAAGTGACGCTCCCTCTTCAAGTCTGTTTCCTTTGTTCCTGAGCTGAATTTGGTGCCGAGACGAGAACCTGCTCAAGAACCCTGTGGTACGTTGTCCTTTCGTAGTAATGCCCTTCTAATACCCGATTCTCTTCATGCGGATCTAAGTATAGCAAGGAATATATCGAGGAAATCGAGCTCCATGTCGGCTCTGTAGAAAGTAAGGACTCAATTACGAAATATTTCAGAAATATCGATTTCGATGTCGACTACATGTGCTACAGCAAGGATTTCACTGCACAGAAGTTCGTCATTCCTGAAGGAGGTACGATCACATGGAGGTCTGCAAAGTCTAAGTTCTAATAAAATGGATGGTTTATTTAGAATTCCTGGTGTTATGCGGTTATAGAAGCTCGGAGGATGGGATGCTGTGCCGACTCATTCCTTATTATCTTTATGATGATACACCTTTCTACATAAAGGAGTTCATCATTGATACTCGACGATTAGTACTCTGTCTTACGGGAGGTGTGTTCTGAAATGTAGCTTCTTCAAAGTTCGGGTAGCTATATTTTCTTCGGACGAAGTACATCAAACCTGAGCACCGTGAAGTATCGGAACCAAAATTATGGGCGCCAAAATTCAGTAACTTTCAAGCAAAGATGTTTTATTAATTCCATTTCATTCGTGATGAGTTAGTTGCACAACTAGGTTTTTTTTTGCAACCTGCATCGTTACCGAAGGGGACTCCTTTTACTTAAAGATGGTGATGGTCAATTCAATGCGATTTACAATCGTTCGCATACTAGAGGGGGAAGGGCGAAGTAAAACTTTTCGAGATTCCAATAGTAAATGGACGGAAGGCTATCAAACGATTTAGAGAAGCAGAACCAATCGAGAACAAATCCGAAAAATTTAGAAAAACCAGTGTTATTAGAAAAAGAACTATTAGAATATCCTGCTTGCACGTCGATCGCAGTCTCGGATGACCCATCGAAAGGATCGCCACGAAGCAGGACTTATCAAAGTTATCTATAGGGAGGATTGTCAAGCACAAGCTTCGTTGCTATTCTTATTGTATACAGAAATGCTACTTCAATTCTGATATCAGTAGATATTGTAGGGTCAAAAATGCTGAGCTTATTAACTCACTCAAGTGGAAACACGAATCCCTTCATCGTTCTATCTGACAAGAAGGTTTCCACGACATAGCCAATTCATCAGAAATAAGACGAACGGGTTCTGCAGAGGAAAACCAAAAGTGCAATCTCTCACAATAAAGTTGTTTTCAAAATAGCAAACTAAAGCTCATTGGGGAGTTACGGGGGCGTTGGTTTTATCGGCGCCAGCGTAAATATTGGGAAGGCGTGCACTTTAAAAGTGTACTGATGAGCGTTCCGAAGCAGTAATCGGACTCCGCCTTCTGAAACAGCCGTGGTCCCTCTAGCAGGATGGTTATCCAACACACAGAGCTAAGAACATCCATGTATGGGGCCTTCGTCAGTTCTCCACTTCATTAGCAAGGAGGAATAGCGATCTTGCTCTCTTAACTCACTTCATTCCTCTTTATGGTCCCTTTTTTGGATAGAAACTGCCGGCTTTGTATTCCCGCTTCAGAGTAATGAAAGGAAGACTCAAGACCGACGGGGAAAATGAAAGAGGGATACCTGCGTGCCACATGCAAGGAATTCGAGAGCAGACTCCTGGCCTCTAATCGTGCTGATGGGGGATATTTGGAACATGGTTGTAGCTTGTTACTTGTACAGCTGTTGTAGCTTGTACAAGACGTAAGCAAACGCGCATACAAATTCCACTGTTATTCTCAGCTGAGAAGCTTCAAATGCACTGCAAAGAAAAGGTTTTCATAATTTTGGGACGCGCTGTAGAACTCACAAGAACGGAAGAATGGAAGTGAGCTTGAAAAGGGGAATCAGAAATAGTAAAGAATGTATCATTGATTGGATAAAAATTACGAGGAGAATATTTCTTTGATGTGATTACGCCTACTTATCCTGAGTGGATGTCGACAGGTTACCTAGCTATTTCGGAGGCAATGCCTACGATTAATGGTGTGCGCAAATTAGAAAGTGGAACGTTTAGATCGGATTGCACAGATGGCCGAGCAGACGTATTCCAACGGCTTTTAGGTTGAGAGGGAAAGGGCCAGTGACATATTGGTCCCTAATCATTGGAAGATTTCCTAAGCCCTGTGCTCTGGTCTTGAATGAATTGCACACTATATCCAAAGCCCAGTGCTACTGCTACAAGCAGTACAGGTTTGAAGCCTGTTGGGCCCTACCATGATAGTATTTCACTATAAGTAATGGTCGCTAGTAAACTGAAAGATTTCCGGAAGTTCTTTCTTTCAGTGTCTGGGAGAAAAATTCCAATTAATCTTTCATTGACGGATCTCAGGTGTTCAGATGCTCAACTTCGAACTGGCGGTCACCCATTCACCTTTGGCTCCTCACTGACCTTCTTGCTATACAAAGACAATCCTATAACTATGTTTCACTACATAAATTATACAATGCAAATCGACTTAGCTGGTGCGTTGCAGGACAATGAAGTGTATATCACACCGAGTGAGTTCCCATTTTATATTCGTAATCTGTCATTTAACCAAAGGGTAATTAGGCTCTTCATTGAGCTAGTTGCTGATTGAAGTCGATCATTGTTTAACAAAGAACTCTTCTTGTCATATAAGTATATAGTATAGGTATAAGAAGTCATATAAGCATTCCATACAAACCCTTCAAACGTCGATCATTGAGGTCTCTCTCTCATCTCCAGCCGCTTGATCACTAGCCACGAGGTGCGATCCCAGGTGGCGAGTAGGAGAATATGGTATGAAAAGTGTGGGGGTGGATCCTGCACACCAGTCCAGCCAAAAGCTACAGAGACTGGAAAGGCCATTCGGGGCGCCTCACAATGCTCAGCCCCTTGTGCACTCTGGGGTGGCCACCTAACTACCCGGAATCTAAGCAGCTCCACGTCAGAGTCTGGCAAGCTACTGTTGGGTATATCATACGGTTATATAAATGAGTCTGTTTCCTTTGACCAGAGGTAGCCTCCAATATGGCAACAATGGGTAGGACCGAGGTGTATTTGAAATCCCTGTTCGAGGAGCAAAGGACTAAGATCTGTCTTCAGTACGCCGAATCTTCGATAAATGCTCGCATCGGAGGTGTGTATCGAAGTTCCGATTACGCAGGACACGAAGATCAAGTACGACATCATCAGAAAGAGAAGGCATCGTCGTGACGTCTTAACGATTCTGTTGAAGCTCTTGTCTGGGCGGGGCTTTCGCAGGTCCTAGCGCGCCATCGAGCTCACCACACACCGTCTGACCTAATTCGAATCAGTCGTCTTCAGCGCTATAGCAAAGGATAGTTGCATCTCAGTCAATCTGACACCGTCACCTGAGGACGGACCGGCGCGTCGTCGCCCGTAAATTACGTAAAGCGCGTTCGACTCCTTAGGCGCGTGGACTTAGCACACCTTGTATTTCCTCATTTTTATCGCCTTTCACTGCATTTTCTGTACATAGATGGCGTATGCGTTAAGGCTGTGGCAACTCCCTACTGTGTGTTTTTTGCAATTCAATCGAGATTTTTCGCATGTGAGAGACTGGGTCACCGTATTCGGTTACCATTAACCGTAGTGGGGAGGGGGGGAGTAGTCAGTGCGTGACGTAGTTGTCGAGTAAATAAATTGGTAAGCGTCGCGACTTAGGTATCTATTTCTGGAATCGTTTACCGCGTAGTGGCCAGCCAGGAGCACATAAGTCCTAATGCAATCAGCGGTTGGCTCTTTACTGTCGGCGGAACACCGATGCGTAAACAGACAGGGGAGGGATCTGGGTATGAAGCGACAGCCATTACCTGCTGCACGCTATTTAAGAACAGGAGAAAAACTGGTTTCCGATACATGCAACAAGGTCGGCTGCAAATGTCCCCGTTAATACATATGTACTTGGCCAAGAACATAGATTCGCACGCAAGCTTGACAATCTGAATCCAAGATTAGAAGTTGCGAAGTTGTGGCTTAGTCTTGGCTCTAGCAGTCTCGGTTGCCTACGCACTAACATCTAGAAACGAAGAAAAAAGGTGGAAGCCCTTCATGTGGATCTGAGAAAGCATTCAGAGAAGATCACTCTTTCTTCAAGATTCGAGAAATGAGTAGTTTGTAAGATGGCCCGGGTTTGTCATGTCTACCCACACACTCAGCAAATTCGCAGTTTTTGGAGTCTTTTCGTTTGCGAGCACATGAAAGTCAGCTCATGGACAGTTTGAAGATGAAATAGATCAATTGAATCCTATCGAATGTCGAATCGAATGGACAACCCGTTATCGGTGCAGGATCGAAACTTATGTCCGACTAACTTCTGTGCTAGAAGTTCTATATGAGATCAGATTATGGTATCCCCGAGGCAAAATTCTCTTTTACATTATGTGGAGGGGAACTATGAAAATCATGGAACAAAGACCCGAGAAACCATTATCAACTATGTAGTATTTTATGAGGGTCATGATAGGGTTTCGTTGTCGACAACCCGTTATCGGTGCAGAATGCCATCGCCTCTATCTCCAAGATAGTGCCAGGAAAGTAGACGATTCATGGTTGCGTAGAGACATCTTCTCAAACATTAATTAACCTCGAGGCACTATTTACCCTTCACTGCCCCACTTTGTCGAGAATGGGCTGGATTTCTATCGAGATGAAACCGACTAGAGACCTGTCTAGAGGGGTAATTTGACCCGTAGAACACGAATATCACATCCACTCGTCATAAAGATGCCTAGCGCACGCGCCAAAGGCGCCGGCGCCAATTGGAGCTGGTTCACCAATCTTGCTGTAAACTTGCCCCTAAGTAGTGTGTTAGAACATGGATATCATATTTACTCAGCATGGTAACTATTCACATTCATGGTATTCGTATTATATGGCCCTGAAGAGGGCCGTTGGGTTAGTTATGTTGGTCTTGGAACTTGAAGGATCACGTTCAACTCGTATAAGTTCCGCAGTGTGCCCAAAGAAGTTGAAGATGATCTTTCCAGGCTCTCCAAACTCGCGACGCCACAGGATTTTCCTGATGTAATCGGTATATTGCTTAGTAAACAACCCTGCTCCTTCTTCAGCACCATCTTGAGCTTCCCACAACGATTCGACGTGGTGGGTGTGGGCGCTAGTTCGAGGATCGCCAAAATTATCCATGTGATTTACGGTGAGGTGTCGACATCCTGCAGGCAATCTAGACAGCTGCGAATATGCTCTCCATGAATCGGACATTATTGTTGTTCCTGGTCGGATGAGTTTGAGAATAATGTTCGTCAGGGTAGCAACATCACGGCGCCTCACCAAAACCATAATGCCCGGCCACTAACTCTACCTTCAAACAGCCACTCCGTTCTCCGCACAATTCTGCCACGGTTGTACTTCTTTTGCGTGAAGTTCGCATCGTGAACTTCCACAATTGCTCCTGGTCCACCAATGGTTTTCTGAATGGCCGATGCCTTCTATAGAACCGAGAAGAGATGCTCTTTAAACGACGCTACCACTAGCATCTTCGCACTCACGCCAAGCTTGAAAGACTTGGTTCGGAAGGATCCAAATCCACGGAACCAAAAGTAGACTGTTGCAAAGATGGTAGACTCCGGATGTTTGCAGTTTGCAAAAAAGCTCCCGTGCCGTACAGACAAGAATGGCTTCGTTCCACACTCCCTACAAGCGCTTTTATTGCAGATCCATACATCGTCTTGAGGTCGAATGTTCATGGATCCATAGCATATTGAGCACACTGGAACTGCTTGTAGTCCTTGGCTCCGTGACCATGCTCGAAAGTCGTCCGCGTTCAGTTTAGGCCTTTAAAACAAGCCCATCACTTGGAATCCTTCAACTCCATCATGCGATTATGGCGATGCAGAGCGTTGAGAGTCACGTTTGATGCAAATGAGAAATTTATGAGTCTGGCAACACACCATTTGATTTTGGCGCCAAAGCGCGCTATCTGTTTTGGCTCGCTGCGGTCCCACCAACATTGTTGTTTTACTCTATTCCGCGACAAGGAAAAATGAGTCACCATTGACGGTCGTGGGATAAGAATTACGCAGTGGTCTCAAAGCCACCAAAAGCGAATGAAAGGCAGAAGATTACTGGTTATGAGAATTCACTCATTCATTGTTGTTCATGGTTGTTCGGCTTAGGATTCCTTTTGTGGATGTACAGCGCTTCCAATATCTCTCCAACACCGATCTCATTCTCATATGCTAGGATCTTGCATATGCTGCCAAAATCTTTGGTGTGATGCCCTTCTAGTCGATGCCTTGCAAGTGGCATGAGCACGCTTCCTCACCTTTTACCTGCTAGATGTCTTTAATGCGTATGCCCAGCATCCTTCCCGTCCCATCAATATATATTTCCACGTTCGGACTTCTTGAAACCTGATCACTCTTTTCGTTAGATATTTTGAAGATCTTTTTAAACGGCAAGCTACTGTGCAAGATCGGAGGCGGCCAGCCTCAAGGATGGAAGGTTCCACACCCGAACTTCGGGGTTTTCAGTGCCGTTCTTGAGAACGTCATGCGCTGCTTGGAATGAGAAGCACAGAGCTTCACCTCGAAGACAGCAAATCATTTGTTCTCAGCTTTGCAGACGACTTCGTACGTATAACACCGTGCACAGAGCAGATAGAACGAATACTTGCCAAATTCGACAATGCCTGTGAAAAAATTGCCTCACGTCAGAGCCTGACGAAGACGATGTCCATGAGGAATGTTCGGTTTGCTTCCTGGTTCTCCTTTTACTCCGAACGGAGTGCAAACCTGAGAGACAGCTACATGTATCTACCCCGAGAAATCAGTATGACGAACGGCCCAGCTTCGGAGCTGAGCAGGAGAGAACGAGAGACGAAGAGAGCACTTGAAACTAGGGAATAGTAAAGAAATCAGAAAAAAAAACTCTTCCCGCTCTCACCTTTTCGTCTCTGCAGTATTTCCTACTTTGATATACATCTAAGTGACTTGGACTGGAAGGAGAATGTGGTCTTAAGAACAGAAGTCGTTGTTCACTTCGAGAATCGAAGAAAAGATAAGGTACCACACTTCATGTGATCATGTAGACGCCCTTTGATCGAGGTGCTTGCTGAATGAATCTCTAAGCACGACAAATGAACACCAAGGTGGCCGACAGCGCGACGGTTAGACTCCATCTCAAATACGACGTCTCGTGTTTCTCGAACCCCATTCTCTTACATTTGATGAGTAAATGAGCATATTCAGCGAGTAGCTAATATGCAGGTGGATGATCAACCAGCTCCTTCCTACTTTTTTTTCAGGGCATGCCAGAATACGAATATTCACATTACCACAACAACCTGGCTTCGTTCCTTGGTTCAAGTCCATCCCCAACCTCTTCAACTCTGGAAACTTTGTTCTTCTGTGGGAAGAGGTAGCTGACCACTTGTACCGATTTGGATTATTATGGGATAACAGACGCCAATTCAGCCCAAACGGAATTACTCCCGAAGACGAAAGGGAAAAACCAAAGTGTTTCTACTCGATCTCCAAACTATTAATATGCATGTGATCCATACTTCTTTACTCAAGTAAGTGATTTCTATTGGGTTCGAAGAGAGCAGCCACAGTACAGCATGTTTGTACGGATTAGAGGTCAACCAAGTCAGTCTAAGGTTTTGAATCCGAAACGCGATGCAACCAACCACTGCAGCGTCATATTGGTTTAAGTGACGATTAAAGATAAAGGTGGTGCCGGAAGGTATAAAAGTTTCGCAGCTTGTAGAAATGTGGTAAAAGAACTCTCTCAAGCATGAGCACGAAATTTGAAAAATAGATGCACGTCTCGATGGATTTATTAATCTGCGCAGAAGTAGGGCGGAGATGATGTAAATGCAGGACGCACTAATATCAGACTCCTGTGGAATGATTGTAGCACTGGTTTGTTCCGGATCTAAAGACCCATTACGATTCTGGGCAAACCTGAAGGTTAGGTAAATTTCGGAGACGGGATTCTTGAACTTCAGAGGACTTCGTGCAGAAAGAGGTGCGAATTTCTGCATAATGTTAGAACAGTACTAGTGCATAGTATGCTACAAAAATTGGTTTTGGAAAAAGTATAGCTAGATTTATTATGTCTTCTTTTCATTTCTCATTTTAACGCATTCCTCAAACGGGATCGATTCGATCAGCTCCCAAAAATTTCATCCCGTATCTTTTACATCTGTATCTCTCTTTCTTGATGGCAGACTGAGCGAGGCTACAATCTCGCTCAGTCTGCCATCAAAGGTTGCTATGAGTTCTGGATATCGGAGCGTAAAGATCTCAGCTGTCTGGGTGAAGCCATCCAGAAATTTGTTACCAGTTTTGTGCTAAAAATTTAGGTGAACCTTCACTGGAAAGGGCCTGCTCATTTTCTACATCCTACCGATGAAGAGTAAACTTGTACTTTATTAGAAACTCAGAACGCAAATATTAGGACTACTTACATATAACGCAACTTCAATGTTCGCAATGCTGAGTTCCACTAATTTTTCGCAAAAATAAAAGTCTAATCGAAGAATGGGAAAACACTCAGTTGACAAAACATCCAAAAAAGTATACTGAGAATTATATCGTCTGTGTTGCGCGATCCTTGTCGAATACCGATGCATTATTGAGCAATCACTGTTTAACAGCAAGCTCTATCAATCTATTGCTTCTTCTTCTTGTCAATATTCAAATATGAAGAAAATCGAGCAATAGTAATCCACGAGCACAATCGACCCTTACTGTTATGAGGGTACGATCAGAGCAGTCCACTTGAGGATTGAGGATAAGTGAAAAGAGAATGACAAAGAGAAAAAAGAACGAGGCCGAGGTTGTCGAATTCTGCGTATATTTTGAAGCCTTTTTTGTAGATTTAGCTTTCTGTTACCGTTATTTAATTATGTCGCTCTTCATAAACACAATGAAACCGCATGAAATCTTCTCCGCATAGCACCCTTCGTCGCCCTGTACTGAAAAAAGTAGTTGTTATTCATGTTGAAGAATCTGAACGGCATTTTTGCCAATGATTCTGTTAAAAAGAGTTCCGTGAGAAGTGAGCTTTTTCAAGTGTACAAATGAAACCCCATCTTTGTTTCATTCTGGATGATGCGCTTTGGTGCCCGAGCAATGGTTCTTTATTTCCAGAAACGATTTTGTATGTATACATCCAAGTGGAGCAGTGCACACCTACATTCAAACTGCGTACGGAATGAAGATGAAGGCTAGCAACATGAGCTTTTCGACGCAACCACTGGAAAAAATTTGCCAACAAAAACTCATTCAAGTTACTTCCACGGCTACCCCGACGTTACTTGAGTTGTCTAAAGTTGTTTTCTCCATCATCCCACATAGTTACTATTAAAGTCAATCGCATAGATTTCCACTTTATGTCTGTTCAGTAGTTTTATTAAATCGACTCTTTACCGAAATCAATAGTCTTATGACATGATTAAAAAGCATCAAGTAGGGAAATGTAGGCGATACCGTCTATAACCACTTGTCATAAACCGTTTACAAAAAATTGTTAATGGCATTCCAACTGGGCTTTGATAATTCAAATTTACAAACGTCACACTTTAGTAGGTCTAAAGTTAAACATTGCCACGGAAACGAAAAAAATAGACGGCCGAAAAATGAAGGGTGGGCGAAAGGAGCAAGAGTGAACAGTGAGCGTCAAAAGAACTAGAACAGAGCGGAAATAGAAGGAAGAAAAACGTCAGCTCAACAAATACCTGGAACGGAATGGAAAGCATGACTTATGCATCGGGTTTGAAATCATAAAGGTACGGAAAACTGTTCGCAAGAAAAATGAAACAATACTCTTTTATGGATTTGAAAGTATATGCTTCTAAGCCGCTATTCGCTTCTTATGAACATGAACCTAACCTATGAGTAATCCGTCCGTGTTCAAAGGAACAGGAACAGTTTTAAAAAAAAGGACAAAAAGGGAAAAAAGGGTATACATTTGGAAATATTGAAGAGGAGATAGATAATGTTATATCGCTCGTTCCACCATCAGTTCTCTTGTAGAAGATCAGCAAAGAATCACAACCACTTGTAGAAGATCGGCAAAGAATCACAACCAGCGTATTTGTCAGGGAGTACAAGAAAGAAAACCTCTTCAAACTCGTCTGAACATAGAGACAATGTTTTAAGGATGAATGGTAAAAGGCAGGCACATTACACCGCTAGAACAACATCGAAAGTTGCTTCAGAACTATACGGTACCGAGAAAATGATAGCGAACTCGTCGGCCTTGTCCTGTGCAGTGAAAAAAGCTACACAATCGAACGCTTGATAGAATGAAAAATGTTCCTCCTTCTTATTAACCCATTTTTTCTTACTCTTTCCTCTCGTTTGTTGACCAGGAAGGAAATTCTGCATGCAACTGCTGCCGAAAATTTTTTACCCTTCATAGTCATAGTCATAGATGTAATGAAAAGCTTATATTAAGTTTCAGTGGCAGTAGGAGGCAAGGAGTAATCGACGTATCAAAACTCCCATTGTCACTAGACATTCCTGACAGCCTGGTGCACCTTTTCGCTAAAAGAAATCAGCTTACCAACCGGAAAAATGGTTGTATTCCTGCTCCGACCCTGCATGTGATATGGGTTAGAGGATGATTTTACCTTATTATTAGGTTGATCGGAAAGGAATGCGCGTTGGATCTGTCTATTTATTTCTCTCCCACTAAACATGATATTTCAAAAAATTTCTCTGTTAGAAAGAGAGTTTTATTGCGCTTTTCTAAGGGAAAAAATCAGAAAATGCATGACCAAAAATTCCGTTTGCAAACTTGCATGTGGTACACTTCGAACAAAGCGAACTGGCTGCTGAAACTCATCATCTGCGGTATTTGGCGGAAAAGTCCTTTCAGGAAGCCTTTGTCGACGATGTTTCCAGCGTTTCAAAAACGATAATGAAAGGTTAGAGAACGAAGAACATAGAAGTCGGCCTCAAGCCGTCGATAGCCAAGTGTTAAAGTCCGTCATTGAATTGGATCCACGCCAAACCACACTAGAACTGGCAACACATTTTGGCTGCTCAACCCATTGCGTACCGCGTGCTGCACATGGTGAAGCACGCCCCCNCCCCCTGCCTCTGCCCGCATTTTCGTCCAAAATCACTCTAGAGTTTCGATAAAAATCGAACAGCCCATACTTTGCGATTCGTTTAAACAACCGCTCTGTGTGGCTGAGTGCTGCATGCTGTGAACAACGTTGCGTCGATTTTGAACGTCGAACGTCGATTTTGAAGGATATGTCCCGCACATGCGGCAGCTTGCGCAAAACACTGCGGTACGCAATAGGTTAAACTCTACCATCCATGAAGATGTGCTGGCGATTGGCGAGGAATCCTGCCTCATCCTCCATACAGCCCAGACCTGGTAGCATCCGATTACCATCTGTTCCGATCGATGCAGCATCCCCTAGCCAAGAAAAAGTTCGAAGACGGCGAAGAAATCTAACTCTTAATGTCCAACTACTTAGAGTCGCAGCCGACCGAGTTCTTCAGAAGAGAAATCCATTCCTTGCGTAAACGTTGACAACAAGCCATCGATAGTAATGGAGATTTTCTTTTCAATTGATCTTGTTTAGTTTCGTTTTCATTATAAAAAATGTTTCAAGCTCAAACGAGCATTTCCTTTCGAATAACCTAATATAATCCTATATATGTATATATATGGCTCCTGCTTGTACAGCTATTCACAATACGGAAAACTTCTTTTCTCTGCGGTTTGACTATAAAAAACTGGCAGTCAGGGTTTGTTGGACCCAAAAAGATGTACACTTTTCGAGCTGCAGTACTGAGCAGAAGGAGCTGGACCTCCAAAGAGGAACGGATCTCTAAGACCAAGAGATCAAAAAATGCTGCTCGTGAAGACGACTTGTAGTGACGCCAAGCTAGACGCCATCGACTTTAAGAAGCTTTAGTGCCCAGTGGGTGAATTGTTGGGACTTCTGTTGGCTCAAACACCTACAGCAAAGTGCCAGCCAAGTGTTTTTAATTCAATTGTCACTAATGGGTTGAGAAAACATTCAAGTCTTTCTTTCTGAGCTCTCGGATTTCTAATATTCAAAGGACACCATCATCGACGAGTCCTAGAAAATCCGAAGAGAACAAATCTAGCGAACGCAGCGTTCTGTTGATCACGAAACCTTTTGTAGATATCGTTTATGTTAGTGAAATTATTTGAAACATCAAACCAGTGTATGCGTTGGAGATAGACACTTGAAGTAAGATAATTCATTTTGATGCGGTCGTTGGTCAGGGTTGGCATTATGTACAAGAATTTCGGAGTAAAGTGTTCCATGATCACAAGAGAAGAAAGGAGGCAATACTGTACTACATAGGTAACAAGCGTAAAGGAGTGGTCTTTTGTGTTGTTTAAAGCCTTTCCGAGATTCAAAACTTATCCAGCTTACGTTTCGGTTTCTTCGCCTTGTTCAGAGCCTGAAAGCCAAAAAACGAATCGAGATTGATCCCTAGGTAGGTCTAAATCATGCTCAAAACACTTCTCTAAATGGACCCGATCAATAGTGTGTTACATGGCTTACTTTGAACAAAGAGGCCAACCAATAGGAGACCACTCAAGAACGAAACTTCTGCGTCGAATAAGCAACCCATCTCCCTCCTGACTTCATCGTAATTCAAAATTTGCAGAGGTCGAGGAAGGGCGTGAGGTTACGGGTTATGGCCACACAATCTTCCTTTCTATCAATTTCTGGATTCCTAGTGGCAGTCCAAAACGCTTCAAGTGTTTTCCGCGCAGGAGTGTCCGCTTCTATTGCCAAGATGGCTATTGGAGGATTTTATGATACCGAGAAGACTGTGTTGATTTTATAACGTGCTGTATGAAGTTGCAACCCTAGGAATCTTTTTGGTGCATTGCTAAAAGGCTTGGCAACATCACATTCGGTCCTGAAATTGAGATCAACCAGTGGCATTGTATGGCTCCGCAACAATGCAGCGTCTCCTGCCGGGGGTACTAATTCTACTTCACTTCACGGTTACTACTGACCATTTCAACACACCTCAAAGTCCGTTTGCGTGTGTCATGCCTAAGCGAGGTGATCTCCCTTCGAATTGGCCATGGCAACAAATGCAACGTTTTGCACATCTCCTGGTGTTTTGTGTTAGATGTTCGCTCATTTCTGGTACACAACAAACCAGTTTACGTCATTGTCCTGTTTGATGAGGATCAGAACCAGCGAATAAAGCAGTCTGGTCCCTGTATTTCTTTCGCTGTCTCCGCTCTTTTGTTCTCTCTCAGCAAAACCCTGATATGGTTCCTCCAATGCAGGAAAAAGCCTTTGTAAAAAGGACCTCAAATACTATAGTAGTGAAGTTCCTTTTTTCCTGTAGGCTCCGTGAAAGTGCGTGTGTTGAAATTTGAACTCGGAAAGTTCTTCAGCATGTAAGCCATGGGTGGTTGAACTGCATTCATACATACCAAACGAAAAATCTTAATAGCCTATGTGATGCCGAGAAACCTGGGAGTAATATTTTAACAAAAATAGGAGCTCCTCATAATTTGAAGTAGTCTCGTCGAATTTCTCAAAGTTTTGGACATACTGCAATTTCCACTTGAATAAGAAAGGTGTGTAAGCGATGCTGGCAGAGAAGATAGCTGCAATGCAACGCTGTGGTCTTAGTTCTCTTCATCTCAGTTTGAACGAGAAGGTAATCATCCCAAGGAAAGTCTAAAGATGAGGCAGACCGTGCTGTTGTAAACGATAGGAGAGGCGGTCATTTGGCGCGATCCCTCCCGTCGCGCCGCCCATTCGACGCGTGCAAGCTGAACAACTCGTATTCTATTCTCTTCTGCTTGTCTACATAGTCTATTTGGCTTTTTCATGGTGCTTGAACGTGTTGTCCAGCTTGCAAACTGTGATGATTGGGCGGCGCAATGGGGATGGGAGGGATCGCGCCAAACGAAATGCACCCAACGAAAGGTACCGCACGCGGACGAGTCGCAGTCTGAATCTACCCGTGATCTTTTGTATAATATTAGCTCAATAAAATTGCAATCTAAGAAATACTTCGTACCTTTGGTTTTTATTACGAATCGTCGTTTTAATCATTGCAGTAATACACAGATATCACCAGAGCCTCACCACTGGTCTTTCTTCATGACCGCTGCGTTGGAATGGGTTGAAGCTAGAGTTAACAGCTTTGCTATCGGATCAATATTTAATGTCAATGGCCGAAACTACAATTTTGCAAAACTACTACCAAAAAGAAGAATTCACAGACATTTACAAAGACAGACAGACAGAGCATTAACAGACACAACTTATCATTGCTCCTATCCAAGACACATGTTGATTCTGAACGTGGCTTTCAGAGTTATCACTTTGTATTGAAAGAAAATCATTTCAAAGATTTTTTCAGCATCATATAAATCATCAGTGTATTGACCGACAAACGCTCCCAAACGAAACAGCCGCCTCAGTCATTTTGGGCCTGAAACTTTGCTATTATTATGAATGAAACCATAAGTTCTTTTAATGCCGTTCAATAGAAATCTGCATTGTCCAGAGAGTTCATGAAAATAAGGTCTGTTTTGCGAGGCAAGGAAAGCTTTCTGCAACCACGAAGTTTTTCGATATCATCATGGGAAATTAGCTGTGTTTCAGAACTGAATAGTGCAAAAGTGGCGAAGGAAGCTAAGCATGATAATCGGCGCAGTCAGAGAAATCCAAGTCTCTAAGAAAGTAGTAAAAATAGGGTGTAGAGGAGAATAAGACGACAAAAGTTGCATGGGAAGGGTATTTGGAGGAGCTCCCAACGTAAGTAAGCCACTGCCCACAGCTGGCTACGCCTTCATCTCCTGGAGAAATCTCAGACAGCATGTCTATCGTGAACTGTGCTTTTAAGTCGAAAGTCTGTTCAAAAAGTCAATTCAAGTGATACGTTCCACAGTCACAAACCAGCAGACAGCACTAAATCATCACTTGACAGTACGAAACTGTGACTCATACAAAAACATGACCGAATAACCAGGGAATTGTGGAGAAAGAATAAATAAATGAATAAAGTGAATCGATGTACCTTGAAGAAGTTCCCTGCGATTGGATCCCCCATTCCATTTTGGCGAGCGAAGGCCAGTGCATCGAATCTGACAAAGACGCTTTCATTTAAGTCCCTTTTTATGATGCAGTTCAGAAGTCATAAGTCCAGTTGAAATTCATAAGTTTCTAATAAGTACAGTTCAGGCGTTCGCTAAGGCGATAGCTCAAAATTCGCTTTGGTACAGGCTCTCAGATAGGAAAAGCGCACGGTGTTTTCTTCACCCTTTTGTATTATTGCTTTCTGCGACTTAGATTTTGCTATTACTCCTTTTCTACAATGAGCGAATCTCGATGGTGTTAATGTGATAAGCCATGAAGTAGTTAACCTTCAAGGGATCGAGCTAAGTCAGTTACGATATTGGCTGTCCTCCTTTTTTTTGAGTGACTACTGTGGTTCCAAATGCCGTATGAAATAGTTTCAACGAAATTACTTTACAATTAAGAAGAACTCACCGAGGTCGGGATTCTACCTCCTTCCTTGGGATCTGGTTCTTCTGCTTGAAAACTAGGAAGTAGTACCTGTGCGGACCTGAAGATAAAACTTTTACGCCTTCCTCCCTTACTAATAACTTCTTGCACCCACAGTGCCATCATGCCTCAAACTTGTATTTGGAGCAGTAAATGTGTTTAACATTTCAAATACACTACCCTAATGCAGTGGCCGGAGGACTTAATGCCCAAAGTTCCAGGTGCACGCATCTTTGATAGTGGTCTCGCGGCGTCAAACAACTACGACTGTAATCATTCATTGAAAGACTTTGCAATCACTCTTGTAGGACCGATATATTGCGCGGTCGATGGTTATAGATGAGGAACGACAGATCGTATACTTGATGTATTACTATTACTTGCCATGTATTAGTTTTGCATTTCTATGTAATACCTGTTGAATGCTCGCAAAACAGTTTTACGCATTCAATTGAACATCTGCAGCCCTCGCTCACTCTGAAAAAAGTTCGGGAACGCATCTTCACGAGAAATACTGCCGTGGTCACTACAGGGGCGGTTGGTGCAACGGAAAGTATCCCAGCACTATCACTATCTTACTATCAAACACGCATGGCTTGGGGGATTGAAATTAGACGCGCCTAGACTAAACAAATGTTCCTTCCCACAGGTTAATTATTATCTTACTCGTTCGGGATGATAAAAGTATTAATCTGAACATCGTTCTGAAAAACAATTCATTAAACAGGCTGCACACGCATTTAAATTTTGAATGACCACGACTATTTTCAAAGGAAGTCCATGTGGGGGGGGGGGGGNCCTTCACTGTGAATTCAAATAGCGCCTCTAATAATGAAAATTGAATATACGATATCCAAAGCAAGATATAAGCTGCTGTATGGTCGAAATACCCCTACCTGAACCTTTTGGTGGTCTCGGACCACGGTACGAAGCGAGTTCATGGCCGCTGTTAATCGACTGGCCGTGAATGTTGACGACTAGCCAATGCAGGAATTCGCTCAACGATGGATCTTTCTTCGATGGGGCATCCAAATCTGAACAAGGTTTCACACTAAATTCAATCAGCAATCCTGACAGCTCTGGCTCTTCATAAAAATGGACTGCATTAGACTGACAATTAAATAATTTCGTACTTTTGAGGGTATTCCAAACGTTCATCATGAGAGACAAGCACCTTTTTTTCAAATGATTTATAATTATAGTCCAGTCACTTGGGTGTTTTGGCTCATATGTGACCGAGTAAGTATCTTTGCAACAGAAATTTTGTATTTTTTATTGAAATGTATGCAGCTATGTACTTAATGTCGAAACTCCAAGGCTGATCTGATTGTGAGCTGATCAGTGAATTGTGGTCTCGGTCTGTTGAGAGTGCAACGTAATCATCCTGGGCAATTTTATACTGAAGAGTACGACAATATCGATTAACAAACCCTAGACAATTGACTTTTTCCTATCACTTACTTCTATCCCGTCAGACCTCTAACATACAATGCATCGCACAATTGTACTGAAGAGTTGGGCTCAAAGAAATTTTGGTGCAAATGCAATTGGGGTAAAAGAGGGGAGAGTGGAGGGGGGAAGGGCACTGGCGCTTCCTAAATTGAGGCTGGGAATCGGAAAAAAAGAGCTCCGCCCTAAATAATTTTTCACCGGAATTACATGGAAAACTGTATAAAATTAGTGTATATTCACAAAAAAAAACTCAGAGAAACAATATGTCACGCATAAAAAGCAATTTGTGTCTAACACCGAGATTCAAATCGACCGCAAAGAACACTAGGGATTTTTTCCTTCATTTCTGTGAAGGGCACTTGGTCAGCGCTGCAGAAACTCAATTGTCACAATGCAAGAAAAACACCTTTTCATGAATTTAATAATCCGCTAAGGGTGGAGTTGGCGTTGTGGCGCACTAACATACAAATCGATATCGCATCTCTGAGAGGAACAATATCCTCCCAGACCAACCAAACCTGCCATTCCTCCGCAGTTGATAATTGTTCCAGAGTCGTCTGGTATGATAAAAAACTAACTTTTACATTGGCTGGCCCTGACACATTATTGTATTGCCCAAATGCTAATTCAGTACTCCATTGTCAATCCCATTCTGAGGTGCCCCTCCCCTCCATCAAACTTCTAAGTGGAAGTGAAGAAACTTTATTGCTATCACTTGTTTTAACTTTATGTTTGTTAACTGTTGTTATTTCGCCGCTGTACGCGATGCGAAAGTCTCGCAAGAGTGGCGAGTTATGGACGAAACTTCCGCCTCGGACGGAACTCGGACCCATACTTGTGTTATACGGGCACCGACCTCTTATACATTTCACTACCGAAACTCCACTGCCATTAAGAAGGCAAGAGCAAGCGGAGTCTCGGTAGTGTAATGGATAATACGGTGCCTGGATAGTGCAAGTACGGGTTCGAGTCCCGTCTAAGGCCGGAGCTTTACCCATAACTCACGAATTTTGTGAGACTATAATGCTATCGCTTTAAAGACTACGCGTATCCCATATTTCAAATCCGAAAGTAACAACTCGACAGTCAGGCGATACAGTTTCCAGTTCAGTGAATAGAGAATGTTGAAGATGCGAATTCGAATGCATAGAATGAGAGAACATGTACGTATGAATTAAAAGCGGACATCATATTATATGAATTCAGATGAAATAATGAACCAACGGCAAGTTACAGTTTAGTTCTTTTGTAACATGTCCAAAACTTATCGAGGTGGAGCATCCCAGGATGGATTTGATTAACTCCGTAAAGCTCATCCTATATCCTAACAACCTATCGATCTTGACTTCTGGAATTCTTCGAAAAAAGACTCCTGCCATCGTCACTTTTTTCTTCAAGTGTGGGAACTTGAGAGGGCTTTTTGATTTGAAGAGAACTTGAAATACGAAATGAGTTCCGATTTTCCCATCGGAAGGTCGGCACCCTATCAGGCAGTCATGCATTTTTTTGAACAAGAGGTTACTTTCTGCTGTTAAGATTTAAAAGAAGTCTTCCAATCTCAAAGTAGAGAGTAGAGTTATAAGACAAAGTTAAATTCAGAAACTTCTGAGGTATAGTAATATTACTGCGGTACTATTAGTGTTAGTACTACTCGGAGGTACTACTGGTTAGACTGGAGCTTTTGAAATTCATACCAAATCGCTAATATTATACTTGCATGAGAATACAATGTATGCTTCTGCGGTGCCTTCAAATAAGCAAGTAGTACTTACCAACCATAATCACAGTGTATAAAGCTTCTGGTTCGGCATTCCAACTCAGTGATGGTTTCGACGAAGCAGTCGAGGGACTAATATCGTTGCCAAACGAAGCCTGAATGGATTGATAGCTATATATGTAAAATCTGAAGGATCTCACAAAATTTCTCGTTATTCTTGAAAAACTGCTCAGACGTAATTCCCTCAAGCCTGTGCATACATTAGGCCTTCCATCCTTCCAGGATTGGTACCCGACTCGTCTAGGAAGACAAAAGCACTGACTTTTACATCGGCCGGCCGCTGGAAGTCGTTGTGGGACTATGCACCCTTTCAATAAGCCACTGCGATTGGACCTCGAGTTGGGGGAGGGGGGCCATCCCTCAGACGGGATTGTTCTTCATCCTTGAACAATTCTATGGTAATTCTTAATTAAACACATCATGCTTTTTCCGCCGAGTACCATGCAAAGATTTCTAACATGGCCACCCTGAGTTGTCGACATTTTAATGACATTCTCTCAAAAAAGATTTAAAGTGCCGACCATCCCCACTCACTCAATTTCTCCACGGGACGTTTTTAGTAGTTATTACAATGGCTATTAAAAAGTAAATAAAGCGTAGCAGTTGTAATGCTGTTCCAACAAAAGGTAATGAGCGCGTCGGAGGGAACGGTAGAAATAAAATTTCCCGTTGCCTCACCTTTTGAATGACTTGCTAAATGGCTACTGTGATTTTTTTATGTTAAGGCTTACGAAGAAAGAGTAACAGACAAAAAATACAGCAATGTAGTCGAGCTAGTGGTAATGAGCTGAAAAATGTGTTCCTACAAGATAGATAGTTGAGAATAAATATAGTGTTTCTCATAGAATAAGCCCAAATTCCCAACAACTCCACGATTTCGAGGGGATACCACATGTGGAAAGTATAGTGGAGGTAACGATGAACACCAGATTTCTTGGCTAACTTTTGAGTGGCAGTGCAGAATTTTTGTTCAAATTTTTGGAGGATTTCAGTCATTTTTTCGGAAAAGATCAATACCTGACCTTATGTGAACCATCGTATGTCACATGCAGCTCTGGAAAGCCTGATCGAATGAGACCCTCGATAGTGCAAAAGACCCTGGAAATATTTCAAAGGTTCACGTGTATGAGTATATTAAGAAAATCATAAAATCACCACTCAAAATACCGTTTTCTCTGCCCTTGTAAAAGGCGTAAAAGAGACGTAATGATCTTTAACGCAGAAAAAAATAGATTCTCAAACCTTTGAGTGAGGACCGCCAGCGATGCCGCAAGGAGCCAAGTCTTCATGCCAAATCTTGAATTAAGATGTTAATTTATTGGGCCGGAGCAAATTTTTGGAGAAAGAACCTCTGAAAGCTAGATAAACGATTGAAGAGAATAAGAAATGAACTGTGAAGTTAGTTGTGTGTTTAATCCACTCTGACAGTCACGGTCAGTCACTGGAGTAAACCAGTTTCCCATTGACTTACTCTACATTGCTCAATCATCATATGCATTCATATGAACAATGCATTTTGTGGAATCCTCCCAACAAAACCAACACATTGGCAGTGATAAAAAATTGCCTTTGTCCTTCAGTATCCACAATGAGGTCTGATTAAAAGATGAAGTAAAGAATAAGAGGGGCCAAACTTCAGCGACAAGAAGTTGCTGCATTAGGGTAGATCATTAGGGTGCATTAGGTCGTCTACCAAGCTCAGGCTAGGCATGCGATGTTGAGTGAATAATTGAAACAAGATGCCCTGGTTAGGAAACATTCAGAGAAACGAAGGAAATATCGCATTCAAACACTTTTGGAAACGTATTAATTCATTGTCATGACGGTATCCAATTCAAAATTTTAGTAGCCATCTTGCCATCAGGAACGGAGACTACTGCGCGGGCAACAGTTGAGATGCTTTGGGTTGCAAATAGGGATTCACAAATCAATAGAAAAAAGAGTGTGTGGATATAATCATTGACCTCATGCTCTTTCTGGATTTCCATTAGCCTCATACCACGGAGAGGTCAGGAAGGGAATGGGCTAGCTCACTGTACGTAGTAGTTTATCTGGAATGTAGATTTATGCTACGGCGACAAAGGTCAAGGTAACCCATGAAGGTCTCTTGCATTGAGTGCACCTAAATAGGGGTAAGGGGTATCGGCGGATGTCCTCGATACGAAACAATTTTGAACTGTCACTCACCTACGTTTACTTACAGCCCCTCGAAGCAATACGGTAGATCGGGCTTTAGAGCAGGACTTTTTACGTGGTTCGTCCTTCATACTCCTTTTCACGGAGATATCCAGCCTGACCAGATTGCCAGACGAAAGTGATGGATCTTGCAGCTTTATACTGCTTGTTCGACAGGTTGGTTGTAGTTCTTGGTTAATGAGCGGATGTTATCTAGCAAAGGACAAAATTTGCAGTTTGTATACAAGAAGTTGCCGAGGCATCAATTTCTGTCAGACATCACTGCTCCGGTGTCTCGCAGTAAACTGGCATGAGATGAAATCACCCTATCAAATACGTACGCATATGCCCAATGGTAGAATGTGGGAAGCATTGCTAGCTAGTAGCTAGAGTTCGAGTTCATTGGGTTTTGGATGATGCCCTCCTCTGTTCTCTCCAGGTGGTCAGCTTTTTACTATTTGAATTAAGTTGCAGGCTTGACAATGTAGTATTGCTGCAGCTATAATTAGGCAACGTATGCCAATCGCATTATAAGCTATCTCTTGAACGCTGGTCTACGACCCGAGAGCCCGTTCTTCCTTAAATAGTCCTGTGATGGGGTTTCTCATGCCATCAATTGGTTGCCATCTAATTATAGGCTCCAGGAGTTATTCACAGGCGTCATTTCATTGGCTATTGTTTAGGCTGCACATGTTGATGTATTATGTAAGGGAGCAAAATTCTCTGCAAACATAGAAACAAAAGGAACCGCTTGGCAAATCAGTAGGGGGTTTAGTACTTAATAGAAACGTCCAAATGCGTGAGAGAGAAAAAATCTCAGGAACAAAGCTCAAGTTTAAAAGGAAACATAGAAAACATAAAATTTGTGCTTGAAAAAGAAACAGAATTGAAGCAAACCAATGAAACTGAACGATCATTTTAGACGGAAAATTTACTGGAGTAGTAAAATATGTAAGATCATTTGTCCTTACTGAGAAATGCAACGACAATAATTTAACTACAACTAATTTTTCGTGACGAACTTAACTGCCCGTTCCCCATAGAAACTCCACTGAAATTGGCCTCTCCTTATGATCGTAATCATTCAGGTTGAAGCTCTCTCCCTGGTAACGTTTTTTCATCTCGCAAAGTATTTCTTCTCTTCATTCCATTTCTACTCTTCAGGCGACGTTGAGAGGATGTGCGGCTCTGTACTCTCCTTCACCTTCTAGTTTGTGTACTTTTCTTGAATTGGAAAGAAGTGCGCAAGCTTGATGAAACTGGGCTTTTCCACCTTTTAGGGAGTGGTTAGGCATTTGGGGTTGCGTCTCATCTATCTGCTGAACAACTTCGATAGCTGCCCAGGCTAACGGACCTACCGTTCTCTCCACGGCCGACATGGGATGTCAGAGCATTAGGGGAGATGAAAGGAACCGCCACAACTGAAAATGGGATGTGAAGCTCTGAACTGAGTTCACGCACTCTAGAAACTTTGGACTCTACCCCTCCTAGTGCCACTCGAAGTGACCCAACGAACCGCCACGCAGCCACAGTCTATCAGAGGACCATCCTTATTGACTCACCTTTTCTTCTTCGTCCATTAGAAACTGTCCAAGATAATTCGTATTATTCAGGGTAAATGCATCCGCCTCGAGCCTTCATCTCGCCACTCCTGTGGTTTCTCTTTTTCTTCCAGGTATGTCAATAAAATGGAATACCAAAAATAGAAAGCGCTCTGACAAGAAGCATTCTTGAGCCTGTCATCAGAATCAAAAGGAGCACACATGTGGTTGCGGTAGAATGAATCAACATAGCGGACTAGCGGAGCAAACAAATAGCGTCTCTACGTGCTCCAGTTCTACCTTTGGACCGAAAGCACAATTTACAATAATTTCGAGGTTTTTTGTCAAGATGTGAAGTGTAGTAAAGAAATATGCAACGGTTTTAAAGAATCGTCAGAATTCGTGAAATATTACATAAAGGTCTTTAAAAGTAACGAAAATAGCTTTTGCACGAGATAACTATGTCGAATATGCTAATTGTAAGGAAGGGTTACTAGGATGAAGTTTCAGTTGTGCAGCTACATGGAGAGCTGGCTGAATAGTACTGGCCAGTGAAGTATGAGTTTTAAATTTTTTAAACGTAACTTTTGGCTGGAAACCTGAACAGTAGGTAACTTGAAAAGTTAGTATCATTATACTTGTGCAGCAGACTAGCAGCACAGTTCCAACCGGAACAGGCGCTTGATTTTCAAGCAGCCCCCCAACTCACAGTTCCGCTTTCGATACCTCGTCGGTTTTTATGTTAGGAATTTTGAGGTAATTTTCGCTCCTCTGTGTCACGTCATGCACCTAATACATCAGTAAGGCTATTTCAGGCACTTGGGAGTCCGTAATTCGCGGCAGGATCAAGTTGACGCCGTCATTCGGGGCTTCCAGGAAGCCTTAATATTCCGAACAGAGAGTTCCCGAAATTCTAGGCGTGCCAGTTATGTGCGTACAAACGATTTGGAAGAAACATGAGGTCACAGGGTTAGCCAAAGTCGAAAGTCACCTAGAGCAGCGAGATTGACGCTATGTCTTGTCGCTAGCAAATTGTGCAATGTGCAACAAACGACTCGCGTCAAAATTTTTCGCGAAATCTCGACCCGAGAGATCAATTCATCCGTAGACACTTTTCTACGTATTTTGAAAGAGGTCAGCAAAGAAGCCGCTGATTTTGCCAAAAATCGCAAAGCGCTTCTCGATTGGGCTCATGCTCACAAAAACTGTGTATTCCAGCAGTGGCGTAAGGCCATCTAATACGACAAATCTAAGTTTTTGCTGTCCGGCAAGGATGAAATCAAGTTTGTGTGACGTCCAATCGGTACCAGATGCCATGCAAGTTACCAGCTGCCAGCCGTGAGATATGGCGTGGGTACGGTGATGGATCACTGCAGCTTCGGTGGCAAAGGAGTGTTTCCCCTATGAAGTATCGAGAGTAAGATGCATTCCAAGATGTTCAGGAATATTACACAGGTTGTTATCTACCCGTTTATTCGCAGTACCAGCCCTGATTACTTAATTTTACAGCAAGAACATGACCCGATGCACAAATCGAAGCTGCTCACCAACTGATTCCGTCTCTCTGTTACTGTGGCCGTTGCAATCCCCAGTTTTGAGTTCTATTGAACATACACAGGATTGGCTCGAGTGTCAACTTAAAAGCCTTTGAGCCCACAACAAGCACGACAAGCTCCTTCACTTAAGACCATATGGGAGATACAACTCTCAAGAGGAGATCGACAAACTTATCAAGTCCATGCCACGTCGATTTGAGCCATCAATGGCTCTAAAGGTTATGCTACGAAGCACTGATGTCTTACATGTTGTATTTGCTCTTATGCAAGTCGTTGCGCTGAGAATGGAAAATTAAGGCAAACTGAAGTTCCACTGGTGTTATAGGGCTTAACCCTTTGTTTGCCTAAAGTCTCTCAAAATATTCCGCAATTAACTTAGGCGACTGAAAACTCGCTCCCTGATCACATGCAGAGATATAATGTAAAGATGTAAAGATGTTGTTTCAGAGAAACTACGTTTTTAAAAGTGAATTACATCAAGTGAATACGCATACATCACTGAACGGTACTGTATGTGTCCAAAATGCTTAAAATTCCTTCTCACTGCCGTCATCGGGTTTCTCTTGTGAAAGGTGCTGTCTTACAACGCTCATCCTTTTCTGGATGTGACATACAATGAATAAAACATTTGAGCCGCTATTACATCCTATCTAGGTCTTTTTGTGTTAGAACAACACACCGTATAGCATATTTGGAGGCCATAGGTTCTTCCTAGCAGGAACCTTCAGTAACCTTTTCTTGCAGTGGGATTTGATTCACGAGGTTTCGCTTGACATAGCTCATTTCTACACGCGAAACATTTCCGTGTTCTGAAGCGATACACGCTATAAAGTCGGATAACAAGCGGTTCAAATTCTTATGAATTTCTTTGCTTGCAAATTTAAGTTTTTCAGTGAAGTAATAATGTGGTACTGTACAGAAGTCCAATAAGGGCGTCTACGGACTCCCGCACCAATCATACTCTGAAAATGGAAGCAGCTGTATTTTGTCTTTTAAATTCGTTGAGGCAGTCTCGACTTTCCTTCTCTCTCGAAGTGGACAAATTATTATTATCATTATGTGTACAGATTTCTATACATGTTTTTGAAACCTCATAAGAAAGACTTTTGCAAAAAGCGCAAGTAAATCACAATTTCAATGAGAAAAAATATTACAAAATTAGCAGCTATTGTGAGTTGTAATTGTAGATAGTAATGGCAGGTTTGCTAAGCAAGAAGTAATTTGGTAGGGAAAATAATAAGCTTCAAGACCCTTGAATCATCCACTCTACTGAACTCGAATCATCATTAATTCGTGTGGGCTGAAGGTTTTTGTTACAGTATCCGGAGTTTGCAAAAGTACAGTAACGTTTTCGATGTAAAGGAAGCCACTCTTTTGTAGCAGTTTTTATAAATTTCCAAAGCATCTCTTACGATTCCAGTTTTACATTGAAAAATCCTTCTACTTCAGTCAGAGTTATGTGATATGGTAAACATTTTAGAAGTCAAGTTACCTTATAGGCCCACACCGCACTTTTCTGCACATTCGAGCTTACTACCGCCGACAATGTTTCATGGAGTTATATGAACCTGACTCCCAGGGTTTATGCTCAAAGTCACGGTGGTTGTCTGAAAAAGTGCTTCGATGAATACCCAGGATGCGTCGTGGTTGGCGTGATGGATGTGCAGTACGAAGATTATAAAGTGAGTTTGAAATTTGCTCTAAACACAATGAATTTGATTGAACCAGACTTTTACATTATTTTTTTACCCTGCTCAACTATTGGGTCAGGCACATTTGTCTCCGTAGTTGTGTTTTTGCTGATGTGCCTCCATGCCTGTAACAAAAGGCATACCTTCCTCCACTCCCAGAGTGTTTTTTGTAGAGTGTTTGATTTTCATGGAACAGGGGATATAATACTCATAATACTATACTGGCAGTGAAACGCTTGTGAAGAACTTATCCTAGTTTCCATTAAAGAAAGGGAATCTGAATTCCTAGGGAATAGTTGGATAATATTAGAACTTAAGACCTGGATAGGGGCAAGCGCCGTTCCTCGCGGGCCAAATCGTGGACTATGAGAGCGGCCACTCTCTTTTCTCTTCGAAAGGACATCTGGTGTTAAGCTTGAATTCCTGCCCTATCGCACAAAAGTAGTCAAACCTAGAATGTCCAGTCTGGCACGTTATATAACTCGATCGCAATTTTCTATGTAGTGTGCCAATAGATTTGATTTTTGTTTTGTTAGCAAAAGCAATAAACAACACATCATCAGAATGATGCTTCGAAACAATTGAACACTTTGAACTTTAAGTGTGCTTGCAACACCTATACTCTGACGAACTCTTCCACCGATCATGCATCGCCTACCGCTATTTCTCTTACGACTTACAAGTTGGACAGAAACGAAGTTGATGCTAAGTGTCCATTGGCGGTGGACGTGCTGCCATAGCGTTCGTTTAAACGGCAGAGATCTTGGAACTATGCTTTTCTCTCTTTTATTCAGCGTAGACGATCGCTTCACCTGTGTTACGGTGTTGCTGAGGGGAAGCCCTACATTGTGTTGTTGTATGCCTAGTCCATACGATATTCTGAATAAACTTTCATTGCTTTGGAGTAGTTTCGAAACTGAAAAATCTTCACAGGGAGTGCTTTTTTGAAATTAAATGAGTTAAGAAAGGTTATGTACGAATCTCAAAGAGTTTTATCGTAGTGCAGCTGTACACAGTTTACACGGTTTATGGTTCTGCAGGGTTTTGCGTAAGTCCTAGTTATGAATGAATTTACGTGAGAAATAGCCTGCAATTCACCGTCACATTGTTGCAAGTTTAACAGAACATGTGGTAGTAGTGACGAAACTTTAGTAGTAGATAGCACCAAATCATTCGCCAGCCTTGTAATTATACCCAGCATCCCTCACGTTGTTCCTGAGACGTAATTTTGCAAGAATTTCCTTTGAGTGGGATCTCAAAGGATTCGTAGAATTTTCGATGTGGTGCATAAGTTGAAGCCAATTATGGCGAAGATCCTTTTTCTCACAAGGACAAGGGCACTGAGAAGGAACCTGTCGCGAATAAGGAACTTTTTGATAAGGGTTGCAGAATCCATCTTCGTTATGTAGCAACTTTTCCAATAATTATGGTGGACGAAGCAAAAATAAATAAACAATCCATTACGATGTTTCTTAGCTTTCAGTGGAAGCTTTTCACATAACAGCAGCAAGTTCAGTGCGCTTCAAAGTACCTAACAATAATTACGATTTCGAGTCAAACTCACGCCCGGAGAGAATAGTACTCGTGCTTGTGCTATTCGGGTACCGTTCTTTTCATCACCGACACTACCGAGACCCCTCTAGACTTCGTTTTCCAATGGCTTTTCAGCTTATTGGCACTAACAGCTGTAGAGCCGGTTGGCCAATATCGGGCTTGAACCAGAAAGCTGTAAAGTGTTTAGATAAAAGCTGTTTTGACTTAACGTTTTTCGAAAACCATACAAATATTGCGAGTTATGCACATGCCAGAATGTCTACCAAAGAGTTTTAGTCTCGTCGGACTCTAGGCGTTTTAAACAGCACCCGCCGAACCTTACCAGGTTTTTGAGTACTGCGGAGAAATAGCAGCGATTAACAGAAATTTCTCAGTCAGGACAAGCTTCAAAGTGTTTTCCCAGTACGTACAGTCCCTTTCGGATGATAGGATGCAGTGAATAGCGATGATAGGCATCCGATAATCCCTTTCGAACGTTTCCTATTTTGAACATTTTCCGATAAAGCTGATCCTCGTGAGCGCATGTAAATCCAGTTTTTTCATGGGTAGACGAGCTCAAGCCCCACTACATACCATGCTCATAACGTTGGTAAATTTGCCCGATGTAGTCCAGTTTAGGAATTGCTTTGTATCGCGTAATAGCCACAAAAAAATTTGATGAGATTACGGTAGGCAGCTAGGTGTACTGCGGAAAATTACCCTGCAGAAGATATACAGCATATAGGTACTCACGGTATACTCGGCGTCTACTCACTTGCACAAATATACTTCCAGTCCAGCGTCTTGCCAGACCAGACTCGCTTTGGTACTTTATATGAACTTCAGAAAATTTTGGAAATGAAGCAGCACTGTTTCAAAAATGCAACCGCAACTTCCTTGTGAAAAAGAGTAAGAGGCTAGATAAGTTTACCTCTGCAATTCAGAAAACTCGTTTCATTAAAACGGAAGGAATCTTTCTGCCCGATCCGAATGAAGTGGAATTCTCCGAACTGTGCCTACCAACAGATGTGGTGCGAAAGGGTCTGTATGGATCTTTCTTTGCATCTTCAGTAGGTATATCCTATGCTTTGGGAGGCAGTTTGGCGGTTTCACTGCTATTATAGTTACTGTCCTTTAACATATTATTGAATGTAGTGGAGATAACAGCTATATACCAGTAACCGATCAGAAAACGACCGCAAAACGTTGATATGGTTGCCAGAAATGGAACACACAAAATTTTGGTTAGGTTACTAATCGTGACCATTGACGACTGAAAACTGACAAAGGGAAGTGTCCAGGTCGACTGTCTATGAATCTTGGCATTTCTTTCCAGGGTCTGAGGTTAACGTTTCAAGCTGAGCAAACGAGAAAGTAACAACACATTATTTCATGATGTTCGGTGTGTTCCCTTCCGCGGAACCTGGAGAGGCAAATAATAAATAAATGAATATATATATATGTAAGTGAAAAACTGTCATTCTCTGTCAAACATCAATGTTCCGTAGCAATTCGGGTGAATTGAAGTTGGCACATTAAACAGTTACGCGCCTACCTATGAGTAGACGCGATGTAGGAAGGTAGCCAGTAACTGGAAATTGAAATTATTAGGTAATAAGGTAAGGTCTCGCTATGCCCTTCATTGTTAGGCACTATTTTTAGGTTATGCTACAGTGACATCCTCGAGAGTTTAGCAGCCCTTCAGCTATAGTAACGAGTACTAGGACAATGGCATTTTTCCCATCTCATGAAGGACGATCTGCGATCCGAGTGTACTTTGTTCCTAAAATAGTCGTGCGAAGGGGTTCCCCTCTGCATCAATTGTTGCCATCTGATCAGAGGCTCTAAAAGTTATTTACAAGCGTTGATTCATCTTCTATCTTAGTGGCTTCACATGTTGACGTATTACGAAGGGAGCAGAACTCCCCATAAACACAGATCAGCAAAGGGACCAGTTAACAGTTCAGTGAAACTACAACCTATTTTTCGTGACGACGTTAACTGCCCGTTCACCATAGAAACTCCATTGGAATTGGGCTCTCCTTATGATTGTAATCACTCATGTTAAAGCTCTCTCCGTGGTAACCTTTTTTCATCTCGCAAAGCACTTTCTACTTTTCGGATGACGTTGAGCAGACCTTGCGGCTTTACTCTCTCCTTGACCTTGTCCTTCGTGTTCTTTCTTGAATATAGAATAATTGTGCAAGTTTGATGAAACTGGGCTTCAGCACCCTTTAGAAAGTGCTAGCCAATTGAGGTTGCTACCGAACGTCTCGTCTATCTGGAGAACATTTGATAGTTGCTCAGGCTAACGAAGCTACCTTTCCCTCCACCGCCGACGTGACGGTGTCAGAACAGGAGGGGGATGAAGGGAACTACTACGATTGGAAATGCTACGCGGAGCTCTGAGCTGAGCTTACCCACTCTGGGAACATTTCCTTTCTAGTGACCCGACGAACTGCCGCGCAATTACAGTTTCTCATGAACGGTCCTTTTGAATCGATTTTTCTCCTTTGTGTCAGGCTCGTTACTAGCATTTGTCACGGCTTACTGATTTCGAGTTGTTCAATCTAGTGTAGAAATTATAGCTTGCTGATGAGGGTAACCGAATCCGAAATGCCGATAAGAAGCACCTGTAATAATTGGTAGTATTTAAGGTACATGCTTCCTAATCAAGTCGTCTCGCTACTCTTGTGGTTTCTCATTTTCTTTCTGGTATGTCACCAAAATGGAATATCAAAGCACAATAAAAAATAGGAAGCAATAATTTGAAGATAGAATGTTTTGACCCTTGTTATTAGAATCGAAAAAAAGCACATGGTTTTGTTTGAATGGAACAACATAGCAGATAAAGGGAACAAGCAAGTAGCGTTTCTACGTACTCCGGTTCTACCTTGGGATCAAGAGCACAATTCATTATAACTTTGAGGTTTATTTTTAAGATGAGAAGTAACAGTAAAGGAAAATGCATTGATAGAAAAGAAAGTGTAAAAATGAAAAAGTTCTTGAATTATAAATTTTCCTAAAAGTAGAGAAAAAGGTGTTCTTACGAGACAACCATAGCGAATGTGTTAAGGAAGGGGTAATCGGATAAAATTTCAGTGTGCAATTGCAAGAAGAGCTGTGACCATGTGACCTAAACTACTTGGAAGTCCTTCTCACTGCCGTCATGGGGTATCCTTTGTAAAAGGTGCATTCTTACAATGCTCGTCCACCTCTAAATGTGCATACAATGAATAAAGCATTTGAGCCGTTAGTACATCCTGCCTAGGTCGTTTTTTGAGAGGACAACTACATAAGGCATACTTGGAGGCCACAGGTTTGTCCCTGTCGGGACTTCCAATAACCTTTTCTCACGATGGAATCTGACCCACTAGGCTCCCCTTGACATAGCTCGATTGCATAAGCGAAAGTGAATTTGCCGTTATCTGGAGCGATAAACGCTTTGAAGTGGGCCAACAAGTCATTCAAATCACCACAAATTTTCTTCCTTGCATGTTTTTTAATAAATTATTCACGTGGTACTCCGCGAACGTTCAATAGGGACTTCTACGGACTTCCACACTGTTCATACACTGAAAATAAAATAGCTGCATCAGCCTCTATTACCGATGGTATAACTGTTCTTTCGCCAAAAAAAAATAAAGAAGAAGTTCGTGGAAATTAAGGTGAGGCGGTCTCGACTTTACTTTTTTATCGAAGTAGAGAAACTACCATTATGAACACGGATTTCTACACATGTTTTCAAAACCTCACGAGAAGGCTTTTTGCAAAAAGCGCAAGTAACTT